CCAATAAAGCATAAACATTTATCACCTGATGGTTTCCCCGCGGGGTTGTTACCCTCTGCTCACCCTGGTCACTTGGCCTACCTAGACAGGATCTGAACCCCACCCATCCACCCCACCACACCCCTCCCCCATGTCGTTCCCTCCCATCCCCCCCTCCTCACATGACCAAATCGTAGACACGCGCATCGGGAAGACGTTAGGAACATGGCTGAAGTGTCTGTGACACACGGGAGACACTCTAGTTGTGTCACAGACCGACACACACACACTCACATACACACACTCGCACATTCACACACACACACGCGCGCACACACACACACACACACACAGGGATATATACACAGATACACACACAGATATACACACAGACAGACAGAGATACACATCCAGATACACAGACACACACATATATACAATAACGCAAACAGACACACAAACACACACACACACACACACACACACACACAGATCTACCATACACAGACACACACAGATATACAGTGACACACACACACAGACACACACAACCACACACACACACACAGACATGAACCAGTGTGAGGGAAAAAAGAAGAGTGGAGAAATCACTAGAGTGTCTACAGGCTATAAATAGACTAGAGGGGAGCCTACCAGTAGAATATATGAACAAGGGTTTTCTACCATCGCTGCACGGGTGCAGGAAAACATCGGTACAAACAGGTCAACTTTTGTGCTGTCATAAAAAAAACCGAATCAAGAGAAATAAAACAATCAATCAATCAATCAATCAATCAAACCATTTGGGGAGCCAATAGCAGGCTCTGCTAGCTTAATTAAATAGTGAATGTTGAATATGTACATATTAACAGGAACAATTATAACCAGATTCAGAAAACACAGAAAAAAATGGGAAAACATGATCATGGACAGAACCGTTAATATTATAACCTTTGAAACGCTGAATGACAGTCGGGGCCAGCTCCCATCTAGACACACTTTGTGAGTGAAAGACATTATTTCTTATGTACAGTACAGGTCATCAACAGGGCCTGTTGCACACAGCTCGCGCCCACAAACATTCGCTAACTTCTACCCTAACCCTTTCCGTAACATATGTAATGCAAACATTAAACCTTTTCCATAAAATGATGCAAACATTCACTAACTATACCCTAACCCTTACCTTAACATACAAACATTCACTAACGTATACCCTAACCCTTACCTTAACATACAAACATTCACTAACTCCTACCCTAACCCTTACCTTAACATACAAACATTCACTAACTCCAACCCTAACCCTTATCTTAACATGATGCAAACATTCACTAACTTGATTAACTCTTACCCTGACCCTTTCCATCAAATATGATGCAGACATTCACGGATGATTCGCTATTCACAAACTCCTACCCAAACAGTTTCCTTAACACATGATGCAAACATTCACTAACTCCTACCCTAACCCTTTCCATAACATACAAACATTCACTAACTCCTACCATAACCCTTTCCATAACATACAAACATTCACAAACTCCTACCCTAACCCTTACCTTAACATACAAACATTCACAAACTCCTACCCTAACCCTTACCTTAACATACAAACATTCGCTAACTCCTATCCAAACCCTTTCCTTAACATACAAACATTCACTAACTCCTACCCTAACCTTTTCACTAACATAATGCAAACATTCACTAACCCCTACCCTAACCCTTTCCAGAACAAAACATAATGCAAACATTCAGTAACTCCTACACTCACTATTTCTCCTGACACACCAGCTACCA